AAGCAATCCCTCAGCATCCTTAAATATTGTCAAAGACAAATACAAACATTAAAATTCTTATCTGAAACAGTAAAAGTCTTAGCCATCTAAACGATTAAACTTACTTTTTAATGACAGTTATAAATTAGTGGGTTTTGCATTATTGTACCTGTCTCATGACTGACATTTTAAAAAGAAACTATCAGGTCTCTAGTTGCATCTGTCTGTACATGTGTATGTATATTTACCTCCAGAGAATATTACTAAAATTGGTTTTGTAAAGAGCTCTGTTTAATTGACTTAAAGAAACTAAACACTTATATGAATTAAGAAATATAATAGAAATTAACCCAAATGTTTTCAGATTCTGGAAAATATTTGGTATCAAAGCTAATTTAAAAAGATATGTCTTTAGAGTTATTTGTATTAAATGTAATAATATTATACTTAGGCTTACAAATATGTCAGCAAGAAAAATAAGTCAGTATGATGAAATTTCCATAAGTAATCGAAACCTAATTGTTAAGAACTAATAAATTAGATAGATGTAAGTGGAATAAAAGTTTTTTTGGTGAAATTTTTTAGCAATAATTATATGTGTTATGATATATGTAGTTAAGAATAGTTTCCCAAAATCTGGTAACTTGAAGCTTTAAAGTTTTGCTAGTTGAATTAAATGATAGAAATTTATTGAATATTTAGATCATTTTCAAATAAGATAATATATTAAAATATTAATTGCAAAGTTAGTCTAAGTTTACCGACTTTGGGCTTCCTAGTACAGAGAAACTAAAAGATAAGTTTAAATTTGTTAATAAAAATGTGTCGTGTTGTTGAGGAAGCATATAAAATATGTTTCTAGAGGTTATGAAATGTATTCAGAGGTTTGCCAATCTATAGAATGCTAATATGACTACTCATAATTGCTTACTTTTTAGTTTTCACTACAAACTAAGATTTCTAAGGGTTAAAAATTTTAAATAAGATGATAGAAAAATAATATGTTTTCCATAATAGAAGGTATAAGGTATGGAGATACATTTTTCTGAGGGAATTAAAAAAAAAATGGTTAGGCCTAAAATAAGTTGGTTATTACTGAATGGGTAAGAGAACGAGAGATCTTGAGAGAGAAAATTTTATGTGTGATCAAGCTGGATAGGATTAAATGAATTCAGTATAAGCTTTAATATTAATATTTAGTGAAACTAGACTAATGTTTTTTGATCTGCTGAAAAGACAAAGTTTTCCTGTACCATTGATATGCACTTATTAAGAGATTATAAAGGGAAAGCAAAGATATTGTGTTTTTTTAAAAATAATTTCCTGGGTTCTTTATCATAAAGTTTTTGATTACTTAGGTAAATCGAGTCTTCTTAATTTTTAAGGAGCTAAATTTTGCTTACAACTGTTTAACTTTCTGTATTTGGCGACAAAGTCTTTGTCATCATGGTTAGATGGATAACTAAATATTGTTTCACAGTGACCTATGATCCTATCCTATTTTACCAAGTGTTTTAAAACCTTTCATATATATATGAACAAAATTCCCAAAATTTAAAAATTAAATAGTCTTTTCTAACCTAAAAATAACTTTGGGATTTTTAAGAAGGATTCCTGAAACATTTCTTTTCTAACCTAAAAATAACTTTGGGATTTTTAAGGATTCCTGAAACATTTCAAGGATCTCTCTCTCTCTCTCTCTGAGAGAATTAAATTAATTAGGCCTAATTGATATCCCAAATTACATGAAAAGCATTGTCAAATGAGAAATAATAATTGTGTTGTATTTATATGCATCTTTATCATTATTAAAATAAATGTTCTAAAAATTATATAAAATTTCTAAAAATCTATAATGTCTTGCTATAATGTTTTCATTTGTAATTCTAGTTATTATCTTAAAATACTGTGTGTTGCAGAGCAAAGGAAATTTGTCAATTGCATTGTAATAAGACCTTTAACTGTCATTTTGTCTTTGTCATTTACAGGGAGTCACTGTCTTACCCTGATGCTTTTGCAAATACGTTTCATCTTCCGAGGGATTTATGGAGAAGACTTACTCTAAAATACAGGTTTCCGGTAAATTTTCAGACCATACCATTAACTAGGTGAGGATTTGCACAACTCTAAGTAAAAACTGGATTCATAAAGCTGCTAAAAAAAGATCAAGATCAACAAGAATTAATAACATGGGACAGAATGAACTGATGAGGATGATTACAATTTCTGTGACTTTTTATCTGATATATAAATACCACTGGTTCTTCTGATCTTTGTTTTCCAGGTAAAAGGAAATTTTTTTCTCCTATGACTTAAAGCACTTTGGTAAATTATATCTTTGTAAGCAAAATTGAAACATCTTATTCTCCTTACCTGATCCCTCCAGACTGTGGAAGCTCTTAGTAAGTGAGTAGGCCTGTTTTCATGGCTGTGTACTTATTTACATAAGATCAATAAAAATTCGTTCTCCTTGTAACAATCTGGAAACACTGGTTATATTATCAAACACGGGATGTCATGTTTGCAAAATAGATGCATAGGCTCAGATATGACCAGACAGCTTTAAGGAACAATAATTGACTTATGGAAGCCTCCTTGGGGAAACTAGCCTGGTACCTTGCTTACAGGGTTCCCAGTAGCCTTACTAACTGCCCCTTTCCCTGAAGTCCTACTAAATAAACATAAACGATTTGAATATAAACTTCAAAGAAATTGTCACAATAGCTCATACTTAGAAAGTCTTTTTGCCTGATGCTGTATAAGCCATTTGGAAAATTTACCTGAACAACTGATGACATCATGAGTGACATTTCAAACTTCAACCCTGATATCTACAATTCTTCTAAAGATCTGCCCCATTTGGTAAACATGAACTTTCACTTCCTAATTGCAGTTTGACCTATACATTCAGCTTTATCTGCTTTTGATACTCAATTAAATAAAGGAAATTAAACACCACAATTTACAACCAGGTGATTACATATATTAGAAAAGACACCTTCAGAAGGACTTTTAACCAAGACGGAAGGGACCACATTAGATACCTTTAATGTGTGGGCTGCCGAATTTAAAGGTGTTCACTCTTTTCCAAACTGCTATTCTTTTGGATCTCAAATAAATGCTTGTTTCCTCTCACATTGGACTCATGTTTCCCATTTAAAGAAAGTTCCTGCACCCAACTAAACTGCTCAACCAACAAAGGATTTGAAATTAAAAATTACTAGGAAGTGAATCATCTGTTATGGATGGCTAACCCAAGATTCTGGACCAGGCCTATACACTCTAAACCTTTATTTTTCATTTTTTCTTATTTTAGTTCCTTCCTATCTCACAATTAATATGAGAGACTAAGTGCTCACTATAATAGTTATTGTTTCCTTTTTCCTCTTAATTTCTGCCTGCCAAGATAACTCTCCAATGGGCATCACCTTTAAACCTACTTCACAGGTCAAAACATGCAACTCACTGCACACATAGTTAAGGGTTTTCAATACCTGGTGAAGTCAACCCAAGTGAAGGTCAGGTTTGAAAGAATACCTTTTCCTCGGGCTGATGTTGCAGCGAATGAACACATAATTAGGTACTTATCAAAACCTTAGAAGAAATTGCTGGATATATCACCAAAGCAATAGCTGCCCAAGAAAAAAATCTTTAGATCCCATGCTCAAGTTGTATTAAACAAGAGAATTGCCCTTGACCCTATCTTAGCTGAACAAGATGGGTTTTGCTCTATTGTTAATATCTCTTTTTGCATTTGGATAAAACACCTCTAGTGAAGTAGAGATGGAACTAGATAAAATCCAGGCACAAACTAAATGATTAAATACAATGCCCATTGACATCCATAGTTCTTTGAGATCCTCAGGTATTGCTTCCTGGTTCAGATTTATTCTCTGAATTGAACTTACTATTTTGTTATTATAGAAATTTTTGCTGTTATAAAACTTTGTTTTGCATAGCTGATACATAAAGACACCACTCAGATAATGATGGCTTAACATTTTGAGATGATTACTAAGGCTTATGAGACTTCATATGAGAAACTTCGAGAAACTTCAGAAAATGTTTGTCTTTAAAAGGAACATAACAGGAAAGTCTTCCTCTGTTCTGGCATTTTTGCTCAAATGTGGTCCAAGGCTCCTAAGGAAACAACATTCCCTCCTACATGGGACATGACATACCAGGAATGAGCGTTCCCAGCAATGGGGGACCAATGATGCTTTCAATAACTGATTAGTGTAGCTTTCTGATGGTTGATCAGAGAGAGATGCTTTCAGGGGAAGATCTTGACCAAAAGGGAGAAATGTAAAAAATAATATAAATGGATCCATCTAAAAATGGAGTCAGAGCTGCCACCCCAGAGGAACTGCCTTGCACATCTTATTCCTCAAAGCTTTGGAATGTTTAAATTTGGCAAAATAATCTTTAGACTAGGCCAAACCAACATTGTATTCCAAACAATTCTTTGCAAAGCTAACTGAAAAGCAGACATTCTGACTACCAGACTGAAAATTAAAGACATTCTTTAGAATCAGCATCACCACGTATAGCTAAAGAATAACTCAGCCTATTTACACCTATTGAAATTCTTCTCTTGACTTATGAACACCAATAGAGATGCCTTTTTTTTTTTTCTATTCATGTAATTATTCCCCTTCCTTTTCTCATAAAAACCGCTTGCCTTCACCCCCAGTGGAAAAACTATTTGGGTTTTTGTCTTAATCAGTGCTTCCCAAATTGCTATTCTTTTGGATCTCAAATAAATGCTTGTTTCCTCTCACATTGGTCTTTTATTTTTAGGTTAACAGTAGGTTCCATTCCATTTTAAAATTTACTTTTTAAAGTGCATTTGAACTTAAAGTGTCTTAAAACTGGACTCTCTCTTTTGAGAACAGAGGAGAAGGCGATGGGACAAAGCTTTCAGGGGAACGGGCGCTCCAGCAGCAGAAGCTGGAAAGGGTGCAGTCTTTGGGGGAAAGCGCCCTTGGACACTCCTTCGTTACCCTCTGCTCTGCAAAAGCCGTTGTGTCCCCTCACTGCGCAAGGGTTGGGGACGAAGCAACACACACGCCACAGCCTCCTACTCACCCCACGCCCACCACGCCTCTCTGGGGAAAACCGAGGCTATGGGGCTGAGCCTCGGAACCAGCAGAGCGGGCGTGGCGCCCAGAGGCGAAGGCCAAGGGCCAGCAGCGGCCTCGCGGCGCGTCCACATGTGGCGGGGCCGCGGGGTGGGGGGACCGGGGCCGAGGGGGAGGGTTTACATCTCCGCGAAGTTCCCGGATGGTCGCGGCCTCCGGCGCTGAGCGCTTTTCCTGCCCAGCGGCTCAGCCCTTCGGACCCGGGAGAAGTTTCCCGGAAAAAAATGCCTGGTGCGCCGCGGGGACCTGGAGCCGCTCGGAGCCGCTGCGCGGTAAGGGACGCACCGCGGGGGTTCTTCAAGGCGGC